TAGCCAGTGTTGGCTATTCCTATTCTTCTGCTCTGAAATCATTAGGTGTGTGATCACGTGATTTGGAACCAAAAGACCTTTTTCTAGGTACTGCTTTGCTACGTTGCCAACTTCCATGTTGGCCTTGTGGTTCTCCCAAAATAAGTGGCCTCTGGAGAGATGTTGTAGACATCTGGGCCATCCTCTGGTATGTGGTGTCTTGCCCGAGTTGGGTGGCCCGAGGAATGACCGCTGCAGGAGTTTGGAAGCTATGACCTTGATGAAGCGTGGGTCATCCCAACAGGCAGCCCAGACACAGCAACCCTGCAGGCAACTCTGGAATTTTGTTTCTTGGCCCCTGCCTTGGGTATCTGTTGCTCTTGCAAGGGTGCTCCTGCCTATTGATATTTTTTTTCAGTGAGAGAGTGCTGTCTTACTTTCCTTTAGTTCTTTAGATATGGTTTCCTTTATTTTATTAAACATTTTATAATACTGTTTTAGAGTCAGGTTTTGTGAATCCATTTCTGGATTTCCTCAGTAACTTTTTCTATTGACTACTTTTTGTTTGTTTGTTTTTACTCCTGTTTATGGGCCCTACTTTGTTTTTCTTTGAATGTGTTTAAAGTTTTTGTCATAACTGCATAATTTAAATTAAAAATATGGTCTGGAGGGGTGGGTCAAGTGGTAGAGCACCTGCATAGCAAGTGTGATGTACGGAGTTCAAACCCCAGTATTACCCAAAAGTAATTATTAATTAATTTAAAATATGAAACTCTGAAAGTCAGTTGTCTTTCCCCTTCCCAAAACTTGTTTCTGTTCATTGATGATGTTGTGGCTGTTTGCATAGTGACTGTCCTAATTCTGTAAAGTTTGTATTCTTTGTCAGACGTGGCCTGTGAAGTCACTGCCCGGCTAGATTAGTGGTTTGCTAATGCCTGAACAGATATTTAAATGCTTAGAACCATTATGTCTCCTAGTCTTTGTGGAGAGAGAATGTGTATGCATTTGGTCACACTCTGAACACTCAGCTGGATACTGTTCTAAATTTTCACTGAGACCCAGTAAGATTTTATGAATGAATGCTACTTAGATTATTGAAAACTATGGTTAATTTCCACTGCTGGTATGTAAATCTGTACCAGCCTTCATTTCATATTTCCCTAGAGCCTCAAGGTGAAACCTAGAGGAGAGTCAAAGGTCTTCTCAGGTCCTTCTGGAGCATGCACATGCACGTGACCTACTTATGTGTGTCTAGGTTTCCAGGAGTTTCCTAAACCTTGACTGAACAGCTCATTCCCCAGTGTCGCTCGCTTTTGAGAGAATCTGTAGATTATGTGAGCTCCTGCTGTATGTACAAATAAGGACAGCCTTGCTGTTTTCTTTCTGATTTGTATGTGTTTAGTTTCCTTTTCTTGTCTTAGTGTATGGCTGCATCACTGTGTTGAATAAGAGTGAAGAGTACAGACATCCTTGTGTGGTTCTTGAACTTAGGAAGAAAACATTCAGTTTTTTCATCGTTAAGTATATTAGTTGTAGGGGTTTTTTATAGGTGTTCTTTATCAGATTCAAGAAATTCCTATACATACTCCTATGTTTCTGAGAATTTTTATCAGGAATGGGTGGTCCATTTTGTCAAATGTTCTTTAGCATCTATTGATATGATTGTATAATTTGTTTCTGTAGCCTATTAATATGATGGTTTATATTGGTTGATCTTTGTTTTTTGAATATCAAATCAACCTTACAGCCCTGCACTTGGATGTGGTGTGTAAATAGGTAATTCTTTTCATATGTAAATGAATTCTATTTGCCAACATTTTGTTACAGGGCTTTTGTGTCTCTACTTATAAGCCATTTTCTTCTGTAGTTTTCTTTTTGTATTCATGTTTGCTTTTGGTAGTAGGATAATGGCTAGCTTCATAAAGTGAATTGGGAAGTGATCCCCCTCTTACTTTCTGGAAGAGATTGCATAGGATTGGTGTTAATTTCTTTCTTAAACATTTTGTATAATCCTGAAGCAAAACTATCTGGGCCTAGTGATTTCTTTTACGAGAGTTTTAAAATTAGGAGTTCAGCTTCCTTAATAGTTTTAATGTTATTTAAATAACCTTTTTCGTCTTAGTTAACTTGTGGTAGTTCATGTTTTGTAAAAAATTGGTTTATTTTGACCCAAGTTATGGCCAAAGTGATAGAGCTCTTGCCTAGAAAACATGAAGCCCTGACTTCAAGCTCTATTGCCATAATAAACTGAATAAGTAAACAGAGAAAAGAAACTGCTTCATTTTGTTCATGCTTCAAATTTATGTGTTATCTTTTGGTAAGCTTAGAGTCATAGTGAAATTATTAATTCGTTCCATGGACAAATTGTGTTTCTTCTGGCTTTTCCCTCCTTTTTGTTAGTCTTGCTAGAAGTTTGTTAATTTTATTACTTTTCTTTCAAGGAGCCAGGTTTTTGCTTTTCTCTGTGTTACTATTTTCAATTTCATTAATTCCTGTTGTTATCTTGATTGTTTCCTTTCTTTTACTTGATATAGCTCTATTTTTTTTATTTTTTCAAGGTTCTTAAGGTAGAGCTTATTAATTTGAGACTTTTTTTCTTATGTACACTTTTAGTACTATAAATTTTCATCTTGTTGCTGTTCTACCTGTGCCCCACAAATTTTGGTATGCTTTGTTTTTATTTTCATTCAGTTTAGTGTATTTTTTTTCCATTTTTCTTTGTTTAACCATTCACCCCTTAATGGACTTTTTTTTTTTTTTTTTTTTTTTCTGTTCTGGAGCTTGAACTCAGGGCCTTCACCTTGAGCCACTCCACCAGCCCTATTTTTCTGAAGGGCTTTTCAAGACAAGAGTCTCACAGAACTGTTTGCCCGAGCTGGCTTCGAACTGCGATCCTCCTGATCTCTGCCTTCTGAGTGGCTAGGATTACAGGTGTGAGTCACTGGCGCCCGGCCCTTAATGGACTTTTAAGTAGTTTGTAGTTTGGGGCTATAACCAGTAAGGCTGCTATGAGTATTCTTGTATAGCTTTTTCTTTGGGCATACTTTTTCATTTCCTTTGGATAATTTCCTAGAAGTGCAATGTCAAAGAGTACATATTTCCCAAAATAATCATTGATTATTTTAATTTTAATTGATGAATTTGTCTTGTGGTAGCTTGGACCTCTTTTAAAAAAGTGTCTTTCATAAATAATTTGAAAAGCATTGCTTTCGAATAGCCTTAGAGGGGTTAAATTTAGGACATAAAGGGATGTCCTTACATTGTACAAAATAAAGCAGAGCAAGTGCAAATGTAGTTAGTGTTAGGTTTGAAAGCAGGAAAAAAGGGAGTATTCTGATTTTGAACTATTAACAGAGTATAGAGCACAGTCATTAGCTAAGTGAGCAGAGGACTAAGAAGAAAAGGTTCAAACTTACATCAGAATGAAGGCACTGATTTATTAGAGATGTGTATTTGTGGTAGTTTTTATTGCTTATTTAAATTTTGTGGTTGTAAATTTAAAGTGAGACTAGTTTTTGAGAATTTCCTTCCATTAGTTCAGTGCTTAGAGATAGATAGAAAGTATATAGTAGGTTTATTTAGGACTAGGCATTTTCCTGGCCATTGTGACAGGGAAACAGAGGGTTGAGAGGTCTTAGCAAAGGGAGTGGTTATAGTGACAGGTTGTAGAACCTCACCTGGTTAAGGGAAAGATGCAGACAGTGAAAGATTATGAGAAGGTAGTTTACTGACAATGATGGTCAGTGGATTGTAGGATTGTGTAGTGTCAATAGCTAGAAAAGGAATACCAGGGTGAGTAAAATAAAAAGAAAGGAAAGGTTATAAAACTTGGATTGTGAAGAAGAAAAAAGAATAGTATTGTGGGAAATGCACTTTTCAGAGGTGGTACGATTTTCAGCAGATCATGATTTGCATGATACACAATACAAGGAAAGGATGATTGGAGTTAAAGAAGTAAAGGAACAAAGAGAGCAGAGTTAGATTGATTTTATGTATTTAGGGTGAAGTCTCATGATGATAGGCACAGTGATGGGTAGAGGAAGAGTGAATCAGGTGCCAGAGTCATCAGTGAATGAACAGAGGATGAGGGAGGTTATTAAGGAGGGATTTAATAGAGCAACAAGGAAAATGGATGGCAAAGTCTGATGCCATGGTGTTCAAAGAAACTGGAAGTGGGGCTGAGTTAAAGGAAAAAGGAATACTATGGCAATGAGGATACCTTCTCCACAAAATAGTGGGGTATGATGGCAAGTCATCACTTGATAGGGCTGTAGGGAAAAGTGCCTTCAGGAAATAACCAAGTTTCAGCTAGAATAAGAATATATACACAGAAAAATTGAAGCTAGAGAGCAGTATGGCAGTAACCTAGTAGCAAAGACGGGAGATCTGAGAGGTTAGACTTGCCGGAGGCATGGTTCAAGTGGTAGAGTCTGCCTAGCAAGCATAAAACCCTGAGTTCAAACCCCAGTGCCACAAAAAAAAAAAGAGGTTAGACTTAACTGTGCTTAAACTAAACATTTGTATTAGTCATGGTGGGACTAATGTGATTAATTTTGATAGTTTCTTGGATGAAGTTGGCTAATGAGTTAGAATTTCAGAAAATGTAGCCAAAAATAAGAGAACATAAGGCTTTTTTCAGAAATGATTGTTTTTTAGAAATCTGTTTAGATTTCTAAATATTTTGTTTATTCAAAGAATATTTAATGAGTACTAATTACATGTATCAAGCACTACTTTTAATTATTTGAGCTATATTAGTGAACAAATAAAAATACAAGTAGTCTGATAGGACTAGTAATTTGTGAGCAGAATACCTTTTAATGGGGAAAAATACTCATAAGATTGTTTCTGTTTTGTGTGGTGCTGTTGATCCAATCCAGGGCCTTGTGTGTGACTGGGGAAGTGCTATTCCACTGAGCTACACTCTCAGCCCTGTGCATTTGAAAAACTATATTACTACGAAAGCCTTATAAGCCAGGGGGAAAAGTAATTTAACTTCTAACCTGCTTTTATTTTGTTAGATCGAAGAACTTCAGCAGGCCTTAACAGTAAAACAAAATGAAGAGCGAGACCGACAAAGGAGAATAAGTAATACCCGCAAAATGATAGAGGATTTGCAAAATGAACTAAAGACCACAGAAAACTGTGAGAATCTTCAGCCTCAGATTGATGCCATTACAAATGATTTGAGACGAGTTCAAGATGAAAAAGCATTATGTGAAGGAGAGATAATTGATAAACGAAGAGAGAGGGAGATGCTAGAGAAGGAGAAACAGAGTAAGTTTTCATAGAGTGAAGAACTGTTTAAAAAATAGAAAAATATCTCTGTTGATGGGCTTTCTTCTTCCCCTGATATTCATTGCTTTAAACTGATCAAGTCTCCTTGTTGAGGAAACTCAGTACAGTTCTTCTAGCTTTGTGCCTTTTTACCTACATCTACCATGTACCATGATTTGCCTCTAGCTGACTTAATCTTATGTCAATTTATACTAGTTGATTTAATTCTCTAAAAATGCTTAGGTTTATTTTCTTTACAGAATCACTCACTCCTACTAAGATCAGACTTAACTCTCCTTATCCTAACCTTTATAGCTATTAGCTTTGCTCCTTGAGACCTTTCATCTTTGCTTTTTATTCCTGTAGACCATACATAGAGGATGAGGGGATCTTATATTCTGTGTGCTCAATATATCCCCCATCTCTACTATTGTAATTCTTCAAATTAGATTATTATACTAATAGCATTGATTATTATACGTAATCATACTTTTGTGCCATTTAACAATTGTAAGTATGGTTTGAGTACACCTTTTATAAGCTAAAATACTAGTACAGAACTTGTGTTTCACATTGAAAATTTATCTGTTCTGTGGTTTTTATATTTTCAAGACTGAAAACTTCTGTATTTTATTGAGAACCATAATTAAGTTTTATGTAGTCTATGGGTTAACTCTAGTTGGACTGCTAAACTTGTTCATAGCCAACCAAGTATATTGGTTATAATTAAACTTCCTTTTATTGATAACTTTTTAAAGGGCTTTAATTCATTTATTTGAATCTTTCTGTATAGCTATCCTTAACTCAACTAGCAAAAACGCTTTGTCTTCCTTATTATGCTTATGTCTTCTTCTCTTCAACAAAATTAGAGATAAGGGCAGAACAGTTCTGCCTGGAAGTGAGGCGGGGAGGAGGGAGAAATGACCCAAACAATGTACGCATATGTGAATAAATGAATAGTAAAAAAGTTTAAAAAAACATCATTTGCTTTAACATTTCCTTAAATTGAAGAATTAAAAATTCAACTATCCTACCAGGCATTCACTTGAATTCTGTGGCCTTCTGTCTAAGGAGGTTGTTCTCAAGGTCTCCTGCATGATTTTCACCTATGATTTTTCTCACACTTTTCCTACATTGAATAAACCTGTTCCCAAATTCCATGCCTCCTTTTGTTTTTTTTAACACTGTGCCCTTATTTTGTACATTTTCAGGTAACCCCCTAAGAAGAGATATTTGTAGATTAATTTCAGTGTTTTTGCATCATTGAGAGTATTTTTAACTTATTATTCCATTTTCTTCATTTTGTTGCATAATTATTCTATGTGGAAAGTAATTATTTCCTCAGAATTTTGAGAGAAAATTTGCCACTGTCTTCTGATAAGAAAGCTAGCTTTTTTCTTACTCTTTTGTAGGTGACCTGTTTTCATTTTCAGTAGCTTCAAGATCATCTTATATCAGGTGTTAAGAAATTTTAGAATGATTTGTCCAGGCCAAGTCTTTTCCACAGAATACTTGCTGAATGGTGTTTTTAACCTTTAGATCTAGGATATTCTTTTGTACTGTTAATGGATTGTCTCACTAAAGTTTGCAGAAAAACAATACTTTGTTTTCCAATTTTAGATGTGGATGATCATATCATACGTTTTGACAATCTTATGAATCAAAAGGAAGATAAGCTGAGGCAGAGGTACCGGGACACCTATGATGCTGTTTTGTGGCTACGAAATAACAGAGACAAATTTAAGCAAAGAGTCTGTGAGCCCATAATGCTTACGGTGAGAACTTTTATTCATGTTGGTAGCATCTGTTACTATTACTATAATCATTGCAGGTTTTTGTTGTTTTAAAAATTCTTAGCCGTTTGTATTAACACCTTGATTTTCATTATTGGACTTGGCATCTGACATAGGGCTGGTCCATATATGAACTTTAAAAATGACCCTTGATCACTGAGGGCAATAACTGTCACAAACCTGTGAACTTTTTTCTAGAAGGAGATAAGAAACTGGCAAGCGAATTGTCCAAGAATCGTGGATAAAATTGGCTTGGTTGACTGGTTCTTAAGTAATACCGTGTATTTGATTAAAACCTACTGAAGAGTTAGAAAACTACTGCAAAAAAAATGTTGATAAGGGATATGGGACAGGATAGGCAAGAAAATCACCTATAAAAAGGGCATTCTGAGGATTTTGAGAATGAAGCATATAGTTTATTGATGTCATTATTGGTAGCTCTTATTGTTGATTATGGTCATCAAGAATAGGTGAAGTTACATTTAGCAAATCATTTAATGAGGTGTGGCCATGGATTTAATGGATTTTAAACTGTAAAATGATTGCCTTGGCTATGTAAAGGATGAAAAAGTGAAAAAAATCACATATAGCTTATGTATAAACTTAAAAGTTATCCTAAAATGACTTGAGGTTTTTTTGTTTATTTGTTTGTTCTGGCAAAGTTCAACAATTAAAAATTAAATTGTTGTAAAATATACATATAAAAATTTAACCATTTAACTTCAGGGTTATTTTTGATAGATAATGTTTTTCTTTAAAAAAGAATTCATTATAAAATTCTGCAGGATTCATGAAAAACTTTTCCCTAACTCATTTGTGCTATACTTTATGAAGAATCTTTTTCTATAGGCTTTAATCTTTTATTATAGCTAATGTTAGTAAAAATTAATATTCATGGACTAGAAATGTGGCTCAAGTGGCAACCTAGCAAACTTAAAACCCTGAGTTCAAACACCTGTGCCACAAAAAAAAAAAAAAATCAATATGCCTAATGTGTTTTCTTCCTTAAGTATTTATCAGTAGAATATTTTTGCCAGATCGAGAAGAGACTTTTAAGCTGTGTATGTTGGTGCATGCGTGTGATCCCAGCTACTTGAGAGGCAAGAGATAGGATCAAGGTTTAAGGCCAGCTCATGCAAAAGTTAGACCAAGTCTCAAAAACAAAGAGCAAAAGGACTAGAAGTGTGGCTCAGTGGTGGACCCTGATTTCATCCCCTTCCCAGTATTGCTGGGGGTGGGGGCGGGATGGATACGACTTTCTATTGTTTTGTTAATCTGAGGATTGAAAGAAAATAAAAGAAAAAATATTATTACCCTTGGCATAAGTTTTAATGCAAATTTAACTGTCACTGGATTTCTATTAAAATGCCAACCTCAAAATAATATTTTAAAACTTTTGTCATTCTGTCATTTTGCTTTCTGACAGTGACATATCACCAAGTCATACTACTAGTTGACATGTTTGCATTTTAAATTTTATTTGAATCCTTAAAGTGATGAACTACTTTTTTCATCCTTCATGGAATAACTTTTCTGACACTTTCCCTCCATCCATATCCCCATATACACTTTCCTAGCCCTTCAAGATGTAGTTGAGAGGTGGCAACCTCCAAGGACAAGTTAGCAATATGCAAATTTAAAATTATAGTCATATAACTTGTCAGCCACATATTTGCATGATTTATTTCTAAGAATTACAGTGTAGAATTGAAGAAGTGTAGAAAAGTTTATTTACAGATACACTCCTCATGTAGTGTTTATAATAGCACAGTGCTAGACAAAAGAAGAAAACTCACAAAGATACTGATTGGTGAAGTAAATTATTCTTCATTTTTTATAGTGGAATACAAGACAGCCATTAAAAATACCACTGTAGGTCTCTGTATAGTAATATAAAAGGACATTTATGAAATGTTAATGAATAACAAAACAGGTTACAGAATAGTATAGAAGTTTACTTAAAGAACTGTGAAACAGGAGTCTGCCTCAACAACCAGATTCATCTTGAGAGTGCTACATCTCTATATGTCTGCCTATCTCTGTCTTACTGCTATGACTGTAAAGTTCTTTGAAGAACTTTGACAAGTGTTGCACTGATGTCATGAAGAGAGGGAGCATCCTAAGAAACTGGAAGCTGAAGAACTAATAAGGTGACTAAATGTGCTGAAAAGATATCAGGAAACTATACCAAGAATGCAATATATGTGTTACACTTAAAAAAGCGTAAATGAGTCAGTTAGAACTGCAGAAACTGGCCTGTGACCCAAAAGATCCCTATTTGTTTGACTTCTTGAGATTCATTTATCTGACTGAAAACCCATCAAAGAATTGAATGGCCATGAAACCAATTTACACAGATGAGGACCCAGAATCTGAAATGGGAGAATATCTCTGAAAAATACACCCAGAGGAGAAAGTGAAAATGAGACCCACGTTCTAGGCTGGTTTTTCCATAACTATTTTTTTAAAATGACTTCTTTTGGTCATTTTGTTGTTACTTTTATCCTTTCTGTAAGTTGAAGTAAACATCCTCTTACATTTTCTTTCATTTATATTTTCCTTCTTTTTGTTTCATTGAGATAGGGCCTCACTATGTAACAATGTCCTGGCACTAGTATGTAGGCCAGAATGGCCTCAAACTTGGGAATCCCCTACTTCAGTGCCTCAGTTGCTAGTATTATAGGCATGCACCATCTTGTCCAGTTTGTACCCTTCATTCTCATAAAGCAATTTAATGACAAAAATTTATGAAATAGTAGACACTTAATGTTTATTGTTTATGCCTGGGTATTTTGTATGATTTTAATTTTTTGTGTGTCTTATTGATATTCTGTAGAGAATAGTATTGGCCAACATTTACGTGACAAGTATTTGACTATTTTTTATTGTGTTATCTCTTTTATCCTACATTTAGTCCTTTGAAGTTATACTGTTTTATCATCTTCATCTTACAGATGGAATTAAATAAAACTTTCTGATTTAAGTAGTACTTGATCAAGATCACACATAGGATTTGAAAGGGTATCTCTGACCCCCAAAGCTCTAGTTCTATAACAATTATGCCTCATGATATGTTCTCCTACATAAATATCCTGTCTTTCATTAGTTTTTCAAGGAACCTGATTTCTATCTGCTGGAGGTAATATATCTTCTAAAACCCAATAGATAGCACTATTTAATATGCTTTTGTTAGTGGAAGCTTTAATCATAAGCTTTTCAACATGCTATTCATCTGCATGAAGAATAGATTACTTTTCTGGAGACGGTTTTTTCTCCCTGACCTGTCTTAAAAACTTCCATAGAATTGAGCTACACGTGAAGAAATGCCTAATTAGTTGATATTTTTTAAAGCAAATTAGCAAGAGCTGGGCATAGTGGTGCACTCAGGAATTTGAGGCTGGAGGATTGAAAGTTCAAGGCTTGCATGGGCTACATAGTAAGTTCCAAGCCAGCTTGGGGTACAGATTAAGACCTTGTCTGATGATAAAAATAATAATAATAATAATAATAGCTTAGATAGTTTGTGCTGTGGTGGTGCAAACCTAGGATTTCTCTTAAAGGCATTGGTAGCTGCCATTAAACCATAACAAGTTTTTTTCCATGAGTTTTGTGAAGTTTTATTCTTTGTACATATCAGTTATTATCATCTATAATATGAACTTCTCTTGAAAATTAAGAAGAAAGTTTGGGAAAAATAAGAAATGTTTACTTATACTCTTAGGTTGCAGTCTTACAGACTGTTTTAATGTTTTCAATGAGCTGACCAGAAAGAAACTGAAGTTACTTCTTAGACACTATCACAGTTGATACACATCCAGGAACTAGTCAGATCTTAGCTTTTGATGAACTACGTTTTGGTTGCTTGTGAGTAGCAATATGGACTAGATGTTTTGAAATGACCCTTCAGTATCACATCATTCTCTTTTTGTCTTACTTCTCTTACATATTAAGCTTAATCTAGTTCATCTAAGAAAAATATAAACATGTCTAGTAATCAGTGGGTCTTACGAAAATCAACTTAGTTTTTCTTTTTTTTTTTTAGATCAATATGAAAGACAATAAAAATGCTAAATATATTGAAAATCATATTCCATCAAATGACTTGAGAGCCTTTGTGTTTGAAAGTCAAGAAGACATGGAGGTTTTCCTCAAAGAGGCAAGTACCAATATAACCCTTTGAATCATTTGGCATTTATCTTTCGGCACTTGAATTTTTGCTATAGAGAACTAGAGCAGAAAGTGGTAACTGATTTTACCACTGGTTAACTCCTGTGCAAAATTATTTTTCATTTATTTATTTGGCATTTTGAAATTAGGTCTCACTATGTAGCCAGGCTGACCTCAAACTTGTGATCCTCTTTTACCCTTCCTTGTGCTGGAATTAAAGGCATGTACCACTATGCCTGGCATATATGTATTTTAAATTATGAAATTTATTTTAACTTTCCCCAGAAATTATATCTACTAATGTACCATTCCCCATCCTTTATTAACCTGTAAATTTTGCCATATCTATAAGGCTGGCACTATATTATTTTATTTGTTTTTCTTCAAATCATCTCATTCTTTAGTACTCAAACAAAATCCTCTGAAAGTATAATATCACTCCCAAGTTAGTAAATTCTAGATGTATTGGTGCTGCTGTAAATAGATAACATGTTTTAAAAGAGAGAACATGGTGCTAAGGACATGTTGACCCCATACTCCAACTTTCTCCTTGGTATAATTAGAAACATTGTAATGAAATTAAAAAGAAAATTACTTTCTTGCTGCGTAATTGGTTTTTATTTAACATAACTACCAGAACAATAACTTTTGAAAGCTAAATGGAACCCATATACTAGCATTAGTAATAGATTGGTTCATAGCCAGTATTTATACTCCTCTTTTGATTTTTTAAGTAATTTCTTATTTTGATATAAACATACAGAAAAGTTATCAGAGTAGTATGTAGAACTTCCATATACCCATTTCTCGGATTCACTAATTACTTATATTTTGGCTTGTTGGCTTTATTATTTCTCCATTTAAGTACCATCAGTTCTGTTGTAACATAACATACACATTTATAACAATAACTGTTTTACAAAATTACGTAGTGGAAACCTTCAAGGATAATGGGGAATAAAGGTTAGGGGACAACATTCAGAAATTTCTTCTTATGTCTCGTAATTTTTTTTATTGTGTACTTGAATCGTGGTTAATAATACACTGTAAAGATTAAATTCAGTTGTTTTTTCTAAAGAGACTAGCAGACAGCTAACTTAGGACTCAAACTCCAAACGCTGTATTCCATACAATGTATAGCAACTGAAATTCCCATTCTGTGTTTTTTTTTTTAGCCTTCTGTTTATTACTTTCTTCCAGCCCCGAGTTTTTCCAAGCATTTGTAGTTCAAGGGTCAGTATTTAAACATGAATTTATATGCAGATTATTTGGGCTTCTCACTTTGCAGCACCCACCTTCTAAGAATTTACTTCCTCATTTCACAGCCATTTTGGTCACCCCATCCCATTATTCCTTCAGCCAGTAGACTGCAGCTTTCTACCTGAATTCCATCCCCATTACTGTGCCCCAGATGTGGGAACATCCTCAAACCCAAAGCCACATAATCATAAGTCTCACCCACTACTCTCCTCTTTCAAAGGTCAGCTTTCCGCCATCTTCTTTTTTTCCAGTGCCTTCAAATGATTTCTTAAAACTTTTTCCTAGAGTTTGTAATCATTATTTGCAGAAAAATTAGCCCAATACAAAATAATTTGCTACTAATGAAAGCATAACTTTCTCCTTTCTTTACTATTCTAAAGCAAATCCCAGGCATCCTGTTTCATTTGAAAATACTTCCTATATATCTCTAAAAGAAGTGGACTCTTCTTGACTGAGTGCGGTAGCACACATTTGCCTGCAATCCCATCCCCTGAATGCCAGCAGGAATGTGCTAACTTTAAAATTATTTCTATTGAGAATATGTGATAATTCCCTTTTCCCTATATTTAGGTTCGTGACAATAAAAAGTTAAGAGTAAATGCTGTAATTGCTCCTAAGAGTTCATATGCAGACAAAGCACCTTCAAGATCTCTAAATGAACTGAAGTAAGTCTTAAAAATATTAGAACTAACCTGAATGTTGAATTACCTTAAATATATTTTACTTGATCTCTTTATAACATGTTTACTATAAGCTGTATTATTCTCTTTTAGGATCTCTGCTGAAGTCTAAAGTGAGGAAAATTTAGGCCCAGGAAATGTGGCATAGTTAGTGTGTGATAAAGGTGATGTTTCAAATCAGTGGAACAGTATTGGACTATTTAATGAGAGATACTAAATTATCCTTTATTAAAGATAAAAGATACAAGTTGGTTAGTTACTGGTAAAATGGAATGGTAAATCATCACTTTTTAATGCAAAAATAAATTCCAGAGGACTAAATATAAAAATCACAATTTTAAACAATTATAGGTAAATGGCTCAACTCTATATATAATAAGACATTCTTAATATAAAACAATAGATCAAATAATGAAAGAACAGTGTAATAGTTCGTAATCATGAAAAGCTTAAACTTCTATCTAGGAAGTAAACAATATGAAGTGATTTTAAAATGTAAAAAAAAAAAAAGACTTTTAGCTACCATTGTTGAAACCGTTTATATTTTACTTATCAGCCACTTAGAACGATTTTTTAAATGATATTTTAAGAAGAAAAACCAAAGCAGTACTTTTCCTTTCAGACAGTATGGATTTTTCTCTTATCTACGAGAGCTGTTTGACGCGCCTGATCCTGTGATGAGTTACCTTTGCTGCCAGTACCATATTCATGAAGTTCCTGTGGGAACTGAAAGGACTAGAGAACGAATTGAACGGGTAAGAAAGTACTGAGCTATTTCTAAAAGCATAATCTTATTAAAACTTCTTGATTTAAAGTGAAACCAGATTATCGGAAGTTTAAATCAGTGTAATATTCTGTTGTTTTTAACCATTATATTTAACTTTTGTGGGAGGAGGGGGCAGCAATGGAGTTTGAACACTTGATAGGCAGGCATTCTGCCACCTGAGCCATGCCTCCAGCCCTTTTCGCCCTAGTTATTTTGGAGTCTAGCTTTTTGTCCAGGCCAGTTTGAACTGCGATCCTCCTATTTTAAGGCTTAGCTGAGATGACAAGTACGCACTATCATGTCTAACTTTTTTCTGCTGAGATGGAGTCTCACAAACGTTTTTGCCTGAGGTTGGTCTTGAACCTTGATCCTCCCAATCTCAGCCTCCTAAGTAGCTAAGATTTCAGGCCTGAGAGACCAGCACCCAGCTGTTTCTAAAATTTTTAATATAAAATAGTGAGTATTGTCTAATACTTTATGACAAAAGTGATAAGAAAAATAAGCACTTTTATACCTTTAGGGGAATTAAATAAAGTTAAAACCTGGAAAGAGTTGCTTAGATGTTCTTACCTGATTCTGCCTGCTTGATAAACCTATCAAGCTTATCATTAATAGCTTAATCACTAAAATTCTTGTATTCTAGATTATCTTTCAAAGAAGCTATACTTTAGGATGGTAGGCTGTGGTATAGAATTATTTCAGTAAACCCTCCCCCTTATAAAGCTTCTATTTAAAGATTATCTGAATATTTCGATGACCACTTTTCATAGGATCTAATTTTCTTGGCTAGTATAGGCATAAACACTCTTAGTTCCTGTGTTCTCCTAACGCTATTTGGAATTTTCTTCTTAGAAGTGATATCTATGTTTCCAAACCACTTGTGGTTTTATTATGGGCAGAAACAGAATGCATCTCTCCTACAACAGGTTTTTCCATAGCACCAAGTTGCCATATTAATACTGTAACTTGTGAGAACTACTTATAAACCTTACTAGTATTTATGATGTTAAATTTGTCTTCTGACAACCAGTGTCCAAGTATTTCTAAGATCATTCATTTGGGGCACTATTATTTCACTAACAGAAGATAGAAATGAGTGCTCTTACTAACTTTTTTTTCAAAAATGAATTATAGCAAGTTTCCTATGTCCTTGGTTAAAAATTAAATCATATGGTTAGGAGATCACTTGAAGAAACCAAAAATAGAACTTTACATATGAGTGTACCTCTTTGTGTCTTAATTCAGGAAGGGTTAGAAAAGACAATAAGACTGTTTACATAGATCCAATCTATTTATTTTACAGCTTTAGGAATGGATAGAGCTACCTCTGAAAGTAAGGGTAGTAGAATTCTTTACTAGTGGAAAAAGATAGTCAAAAGCTTAGTAGGAGTTTTCGTGTCTTTATTTTGTGGCAGAAATGAGCAATTACTGTACTTGGAAAATTCTTTTTACTCTTTGAATAATGCTTCATATTGAATTATTTTATGTACTTTTAATATTTTGTTTCAGTCACCTACAGAGCTTTAACACTACTGTTTGGAATAATGAAATAGCATTCAATTCATATAATTTACAATGAAAGTAAAATGAATTCGTCCCTTCCCTTTTACTTCTTTTCTTTTGTTGTTGGCGGCACTGGGGTTTGAAGTCAGCCTCATGCTTGCTAGGCAGGTGCTCTTATTGCTTGAGCCACTTAGCCAGCCCTCCCTTACACATCTTTTCAGATATTTTTCATTCACCTTAATTCTTTGGTGTTACATAAGTGATGATATTTTTCCAACACTCCCTCTCCCATGTGCTGGGTATCAAACTCAGGGCTGTATGTGCTATGTAAACATCTACCACTGACCTATAACCCCTCCATCCCAATTGAAAATAATTTTTACAGTTACTAAGTACAATGAATGTTTCTTCTACCTGATTGTCCTGATTCCCAGCTCGGTGCTATGTATGTAAAAGTACTTTTAATTATGAGAAACTTTTTCTGTCGTGTAAAGACACCTTATATGGTAAAGACACCTTAGGAAGTATTTCAAGCTCTTGGTAAAGCCCTGAGACATTATCTTGGTCATCTTTCAGAATACATTAATTTCTGTAGTTGATATGTGTATCTTCAATTATATCCCTTTATATTTTCAGTTCTTCGTTTGTCTTGTATAGATAATGGCAATAATTGGTATATTTCTTAGAATAAAATTTGTTAACAAAGGTGTGGCTTGAAGCGCTCCTCTTTTAACCTCTGTTTTGTTATGCTGCAGATCAAACTCAGACCCATCATGCAAACCTCATACCACTGATGTAATTCAGTGTATTTCCTTTAGAAATACTACTAGGGTTTGAACTCAAGGTCTTGCAGTTGATAGGCAGGTGCTCCACCACTTGAACCACATCTCTAGCCCATTTTGCCTTTAGGTTATTTTTCAGATAGGGTCTTGCTTTTGCCCAGGGATGGCCTTAGACTGCGATCCTCCTACCATGGCCTCCCACATAGCTGGGATGACAAAGGTGTGCTACTATACCCAGATTATTGATTAAGATAGGGTCTTGCTGTTTGTTCAGACTGGCATCTAACCGTGATTCTCCAATCTCAGCCTTCTAAGTAACTGGAATTACAAGCTTGAGCCATTGTGCCTGGCTAAAAATACATTCTTTAGGGTGTGTTTTATTGTTAAGTTTTAGCATTTTAGGTTCTCTAACAGTAATTAGACACTATTCATGAAATTGTTCTCCCATTACTAAGACACTCCCCTTTGGTTAAATTGTCTCATACTTTTTTTTAGCTTGAGATGTCCTTTTTGCTAGGAATATCCTTCCCTCACCAGTCTCCATTAGTTCGAATTCCACTTGAAATGCAGATACGTAAAGCTTTTCCTTTATTCCAAATGATTCAAGATTTAAGATGGCAGTTTGTACCGTGTTAATTAAATGTGCTTAAACAGGCCTTCTCTCTTCACATAGAGTATAAACTTCTTGGGGAGAGGGAGTCAACAGCAATAGTATTGTTAATGTATCTTCAGAGCCTGGAAAAACACATCCTAGCAGCCTGCTCTTGATAAATATACAAAAACAGCTTCGATAATGTTGCAGTGCTTTGAATGCATTAGTTTAAAAACTCATATAGACAGACACCCATGGCTCAAGCCTGTCTTAGTTACTTGTGAGGCTGAGATTGGGAGGATTGCACTTCGAGGCGAGCCTAGACAAAAAGCTTGAGAGACCCCATTTCAACCAATAAATGGTGTGGTGGTATGTGCCTGTTATCCCATCTCTGCAGGAAGTTGAGATTGAGATCAGGAAGACTGTGGTTCTGGGCCAGGCAGAGCAGAAACAATATGCAAGACCCCATTTCCCCAGGAAAAAAAACTGGACATGTGCCTGTCATCCCAGCTACTATAGGAAGCTTAAAATAGGATGCTCCTAGTCCAGGCTCACCTGCACAAAAACTGAGACCCTAACTCCAAAATAACTAGAGCAAAATGGGGTGGAGGTGTGACTCAAGTGGTAGAGCACCTGACTAGCGAGCACGAAGCACTGAGTTGTAAACCCCAGTACCGTCAAAAAAAAAAATTAGTATTTGCCTAAATATGCCAGAATTAAGTATAATAAGATTATGTATCTTTGAACAATATAATCAAGGAAGGAAACAGTGAAAAGTATATCTAGTGTATTTTGGTCCTCCAAAAAATCAGTTGGATTATGGTTTTAATTCTTAAGTCCTTTAAAACATGTATCACAGTTTTCATTAGATGTTCATGATTCTTCTTTTACATTACAGGTAATACAAGAAACCCGATTAAAACAAATTTATACAGCAGAAGAAAAGTATGTGGTGAAGACATCTTTTTATTCAAACAAAGTTATTTCTAGTAACACATCCCTTAAAGTAGCCCAGTTTCTCACAGTCACCGTGGATCTAGAGCAAAGAAGACACTTGGAAGAACAGCTAAAGGTTGATTGATTTGATTATTAGAAAAGAATATTAACTGGATTTCTAATACTTTACCTAGAACTTTAACAAAATTGTTATTTTGTATATCCCATAGGAAATTAATAGAAAATTGCAAGCAGTGGATACAGGATTATTTGCCTTACGAGAGACAAACAGACGTCTAGAACACAAAGACAATGAACTTAGGCAAAAGAAGAAGGAACTTCTTGAAAGAAAAACCAAGAAAAGACAACTGGAACAAAAAATTAGTTCCAAGCTAGGAAGGTATCTTTTAGCCTTTTTTTTTTTTGGAGGGGACGGGGAGAATCACAAAGTGGTACGTGAGTGATTACTAATTAAACCTATAATAACAGCACACTTCCAGCAAGCACATTTTGTAAGTGTTTCTAAAGCTTTTATTTATTTATTTATTGGTGGTGGTGCTGGGGTTTGAACTCAGGGCTTCACGCTTGCAAGGCAGGCTCCCTACCACTTGAGCGAAGCCTCCACCTATAAAGTGCCTCTCCTTGAGGCAGCTTTCGTAGGTTTGTGCATAGCAGAAATGCTTCATAAGTACCATGAACTTCCTATTCATCACATGCAGTGTTAACTTTCTCAGAGTTTGAGATTTTATAAAATCTGCTAGCTGTTTCAACAAAAAAATTCTTAAGGAAATGTTTAATGTTTTGAGTACATGGCAGTAACAAATCTAATGACTACTAGTGCACCAAGGTACCTGAAGCATTCTAAAGCATTTTTTCTTGTTTTTGCAGCTCAGTGCAAATGTCAACATTAAGTCAACTTTTTTTTAAGCCTTTTTTTTTTGGGACTGGGCTTTGAACTCAGAGCCTTGTGCTTGCTAGGCAGGTGCTCTGCCATTTTAGCCACTCCACCAGCCCTACTTGAGAAGGGCAGTGACATCCTTTTATTATGGTGAAATAGTTTTGACCTAGCTGGCCACTTTGAAACAATTTTAGGCTGTTTACTTTTCAGATCTGAACGAGTACATAAGGAAAACTAGTAGCTTACTGTGAGGTCCAAGGTAGCTATTTTCAGAACACATTAGAAATTTTACTTTAAATTTATATTTTTTATAGAAACTAGGATATGTTCAATAGGATAAAAGCTATTAGGATGTCAAAACTAGGGGAAAGGAGCACCATTTCCATTTAAGGCTTTTCTTATAGCTTGCCATGACATAGCCTAGACTTTTTTGTTGTTGTTTTAAGTTCTTGCCCATAGAATGAGGATATAGACTAATGATATATTCAGTCTTTAGAAACTCATTGCTTTGAGTAAGAGAGTAAGATACAAGTTTACCTTGGCCTAATGTACTGTGCATTCCTAAGTCTGTAAGTTGAATTATATTTGAAGTGTGGTAGAAAAATTTTCATTTTAATCTTTTTTTAAAAATTAATAATGTCACTTGGTTACTTAAAGTGAGGTATGTGTAATTAGTCTGTCTTCCTAGGTTTTTTTGTTTGTTTGTTTTTTCCAGCTTGGGAGGCTGAGGCAGGAGGATTGCAAGTTCCAGGACAACATGGGCTGCATAGTGAGTTCTGGGCCAGCCTTGGTTACATAGCAAGACCATCTCAACAAAACTTTAAACTTTTTTTTCCTCACTTTAACCCTTCACTTTAGTCCTATCTTCAGTCATCTACAAAGCACTTAACCTTTACTGGGTGACTGCTGTGCTGGACCACTTGTCAAAAAACTTTCAGGTCTGACATGGTGATGGGAGTCTGTAATTCCAGCTACTGAGGAGGCAAAGGTAGAAAGATCTGGGTCCAAGGGAAGACGGAGACCCAATTTGAAAAACACTAAAAAGCAAAAAGGACTAGGAACACGCTCAAATTGTAGAATGCTTGGTGGCCCTAAGATCAAGCCCTAGTATCGCAAACAGATACATGTCTAAATAAAATGAAACAAAACTTTCTCATAAAATAATTTTGAGGATTTTTTTCAGTAAAATGATTTTTTATACCCTTATCAGCCCACTATTTCGCTTTTCTTTTTTTGGTGGGACAGGGTTTAAACTCAGGATTTTGTACTTGCAAAGTAGGTACTCTACTACTTGGACCACACCACCAGTGCATTTTGCTTTTAATTATTTTTGGATATGGTCTTGCATTTTTTGCTTGGACTGGCCTGGACTACAATGCTACTTTTTAGTCTTCCTGCATAGCTGAGATGACACATACATACCACCATGCCCAACTCTTGGGTGAGATGGGGGGGGAGGTCTCATGATCTTTTTGCCCAGACTAGCCTCACACTGCTATCCTTCTTATCTCTGCCTCCCCAGTAACTGTGATTATAGGCGTGAGCAACCACATCTAGCTTCCACTGCTTTTGTTTTTGTTTTGAGACAGGGTAGTCTCATACTAATGATCCTCCTGCTCAGCCTCCCAAATGATACTGTGGGCCACAGCACCTGGCCTTCCTCTGCTTGTTAGTGAATGGCAGTGGGGAAATGCATAGCCATCTTTTCTGACTCCGTTTCTTATATCATCACCATTAATATTACTGGATGATGGCGGGGTACATAATCTCAACAAAAAATTTTATATCCTGATTAATTGCATAAAATTGTTGTTTAATCTAGGAGCTTGCAGTTTGTACGTCTGAATAATAGATTGTAGCCCAGAAAACTGCAGGGGGATTAAGCTTTTGACATAGTCCTTGTGCTTAATCTGTCTGCATATTATGTGTGTATCATACAGTATAAAGCTGATGGAACAGGATACTTGCAACCTGGAAGAGGAAGAACGGAAAGCAAGTACCAAAATCAAAGAACTGAATGTTCAGAAAGCAAAACTTGTTACTGAATTAACAAATCTAGTAAAGGTAAGACATTTTCTTAGTTTTGGCCAATTTTTAAAAATAGCTGATAAGATAATAAAAACTTTAGAGGGATTTATGGGAGGGATGGTCTTCATTAAGTCTCTTGCTCTTTTTGTTTTATGTAAGCAAGAGATTTTCATTATCAGTTTCAACTTGTATGCACTTTGTTTATAAGTAATAATAGATTAACTTGTTGAAGTAAATTATTTTATTCCAGATGACTGCTAAATACATGGGAAAGCACACTAAACTCTAAGGGGTTGTTTTGTTCCTAGATTTGTACTTCTCTGCATATACAAAAAGTAGATTTAATTCTTCAAAATACTACAATGATCTCTGAGAAGAACAAATTAGAGTCAGATTATATAGCTGCATCTTCACAACTACGTGTCATAGAGGTACGATTTTTGCCTTTGTTTTTTATTTTGGGGTTCCAGCCTCTGACCAGTTTGAAAACATATGTCATGTATTACCACTTGCAACATGTACTTCTTGTATGCTATATAATTTAAAAATTTAATGTATCCTGCTGATGAGGAAAGCAATCCTGAAAACACTTAATAGTAGCTATATAATCTTGACAATTTAATTTCTGTTAATATCTGGCTATGAAATGATAAATATTGATAAAGTATGTGGAGGAGGAAAAAAAAATCTGATATAGCACATTAACTTAAAATTCAGAGAAGATGAGGCAACAAAATGATAGTGATAATGATGTACTTTTTTGAATCTCCAAAATCTTTTCCCAAAAACAATAGAGCACTTAGGATAATATAACAACAAACCCCAGACAACATACACAAAAATAAAGCTAAGCTTTTAGGTATCCCTGTCAGTGTACTGTAATACTTTTCTGGTGCTAACCACTTGGGAGTTAGTGTCAAACTTGACAGTTTACAGGCACAGCTCTCAATAAGACTGCCATTATTTTGTATGACACCTACAAGCTTAAGTGTTCCCATGCCACTTGCACTTCCAACCAACTGGCTAAAATTCAGGGGATCTCATGATGCCCTCAGGTTAAGTAATTCACTAGAACTCAAAACTCAGGCGAACACTTAAATTATGATTTTATTATAAAGGAAATCAGTGCTAGCCAAATGATGAGAAACGTAGAACTATGTCTGGTTAGGTCCTAAGCATGGAATTTCTGTACCCTTTTCATGTGGAATCAGAGTGATTCATTCTTCTGACACTTCTGTGTGCTTACCAATCAAGAAGCTCTACCATGTAGAACCAGACTGCAGTATGGTTCCATTATGTAGGCATGGTTTATTCAGTCATTGGTCATGTGATTGAATTTAGTCTGTAACCCTCATGTTTGAGTTTGGGAAGTTGTGCTGACATTATGTGGTTCAAAAACTCAACCCTTTACTCCTACAGTTGGTCTTTGTAGAATTGCATACTGTCATCCTGAGTCATATCCTTAGCATAAACACACACGTGATGAAGGCATTCAGAAATACCACGGATTGTCAATTTCAAGAGTTTTAGAGGAACCGGTGGCAAAGGCTTTATTATACAATGCCTGTGAACTCTAAAATCCAAGTAGATGAAATAAATCAATAACAGCATCAAAGATAGCCTGATATTTTTAGCAAGGAAAAGCTCAGAGAATCCAAAAATCAAGTTGCCAACAGGTACTCATCGTAAAGGGGAGGAGGGTGGTGGGCAGTAGGCATAGAAAGGTAGCTCAGTAGTCCTATATTATATGAAAATAGCTGAAACTGGGAGGCAACTTTACAGACTAGGGAAAGGTCTGATAATGCTGGTGTTGTCCAGCCTTAGGAATTACAAACTAACTGAAACTCCTTCATAGAGCAAACTTCTACTGAGGAGAACTAGAGATGCATGATAATTAAAGGAACAGTAGTAAGACGTATACTGTATGATTGTCAGTCTGGTAGTAATAGCTAAAGCATAGTTCTCTGAAAATGAAAGCGACAATATAAATAAAATGGCATATATTTGCTGATTGTCCTATACATATTATCAGGAATATTACTTCAGTTGGGTGTTTTGGGTCATGGAAGTGAGAATTTCAGTATTATTTCAACCAGGGAGCCAATAGACATTCACCACCCAAAAAAGCTATAGAAAGGGTTGGAGGCATTGTTCAAGTGGTAGAGCTCCTGCCTAGCAAGCTTGAGCCCTTAGTTCAAACCTTACTTTCACACATAACAAAACAAAAAGATCAAAAGCTGTTAAGAACGTAAGTATATTATATAAGGTATTTGCACAAAGATAATCTTTAGAATCAAAATAGAAGCCTTCCTAAAATACCAAAATGAAATACAAAGAAGAGGGGTGAGAGAAACAAAATAGACCACATAGCTAAGATTAGATGTTTCATTTATAAGTATATGAGAAAAAAATTACTCTGACATAAAACAGAGACAGAAACAAAGCCAGTCTGGACATGGTGGTACATACCTGTAATTACCTCAGCACTTGTAAGGAGGCAGAGGTGGGAGGATAACTTGAGCTCAGGAGTTTAAGATCAGCCTAGGTAACATAGCAAGTTCCCATATCAAAATTAAAAAAAAAAAAAACCACTAAGGCCAAACATCAATCATATTATTAAATGGCAGTGAGTGTACTTTATTTATTTAAAAAAGGTTTTGGAGGCGGGTAGGGGCTGGTGAAGTGGTTGAAGTGGTAGAACACCTGCCTAGTAAGTTCAATCCCCAGCCTACAAGAAAGAAAGAAAAAAAGGAGGGAGGGAGGGAAGGAAGGAAGGAAGGAAGAAAAGGAAGGAAGGAAAGAAAGAAGTAAATTCTAACTGTGCAAAATGTGAGTAGTAAATCTAAAAGTTCAGAAAGGTTTAAAATAGAAGGATGATGGGTACAGTAACCTTTTTAAGTGATGAAAATGTAACATAGAGCTGTGGTGATGGTGACAGCTCTGCAAATTCACTAATGATCGTTGAATTGTACCCTTAAAATAAGGGATCTTATGATCAGTAAATTATATGTCAATAAATGGATGGGCAAAGGTATATCAGGCAAATGGATGTGGAAAAGTCTGATTATCTCAATATTGTGTTATATAGAGTGGCATCTCATATATATTGTTAAGTAAAATTAAAAGGTGAGGAGAGAAATATGTGTAGTGTGTTACCACTTTCAAAGAAAGAGTCGGGAAATGTGATTGTGCCTACATGCTTACTGGAAATTACACTGGTAAGCAGCATCTTTTCATTTTAATTGTTTGTGGGAGTAGACAAGGAAGTTAAAAGTTGTATTCATTTAAACAGATCTTTTTTTCTTACTTTGTAACAACCTACTAACAAAATAAAGACAAATTTAGCTAAAGCAAAATGAAATATAACCCATCTGTTTTTGTTTTGAGTTAACAATATGGCCTCACAGAGAAAAATATCTCAAGTGCCTTTAAACACAGTAATTTGATTCTAAAGACAAAAAGAATTGTAAAAAAATCTTATATTGTGTTTAGTAGCCATGCTATAATAATATTTGTGATGTTATTATGAAAATAAAAGGTAAAGCAAACAAGTAATTATGTTAATGTTTTAGGATCTTCAGCATGAGGGAGAAAATATTTAGATACAAAGAAGATAGGGCTGGAAGCTGGTTTAAGCAGTAGAGCGCCTACTTTGCAAGCGTGAAGACTTAAGTTCAAACCCCAGTCCCACCAAAAAAAAAAGAGGAAGATAAATAAGAAAAACACTTTGAAGATTTTAATTTAATTGGAAATACCAGAATTAGTTCATAATGTATTTTCTCTAAAATTAAAAAAAACTAAGCCAGGCATTGTGGTATATACTGTAATCCCAGCACTTGGGAGGTTGAGGCAGGCGGACTCTGAGTTCAAGGTCAAGTAAGCTACATAGTGAGACCTTGTTTCAGAACAAAACATTTCCTTACTTGTCTATTGGAAAGACCTAGACTATTGCTTCAAATACTAAAATAGCACATTGGAGAGATGTGTTATTCCAGGCCCAGGAAAATTAATCTGTGTAAAGATTACTGGCCATGGATGAAGTGAATAGATGGAAACATACCAAAAGTGTCTTAAACTGACAAATTTGTAATGATATTTTAAAAAGAATATAGGTTACTTTGCAGGGTGTTTAGGAAACTAGTTCATTATTTTGAAAAATGATAGGGAATTTAGCTTTTATCCTCCATTTCCTATGGAAACTGTTATTTACAATAAAGAATAAAGGAGGAGGGGCTGTCTACAGAAATATTCCATCTGATAAATGAAGAAGGAATTATAGTATTAGAATATCTGCTTGTGAATCAGTGTATCACATTAGCTGCATGTATCACAAAAAGCCAGATATTTTTATGTGCATGCTGATGAAAGGACACATCATCAGTTATGGAATGATCTTGTGAAATAATCAAATTTCAGTCTGTGTAAGCCTCAGACAGTGTTTCTTTGTATTTAGTTTTTTGTTTTTTTCATAGACATCTGCAATGTAATGGCCTTTATTGGAGTGGAATATATATATATATGTCTTGTACATATGTACATTTTTAAAAAACATTTTTAAAGGCTGGCTGAGTGGCTCAAGTGGTAAAAGCACCTGCCTAGCAAGTGTTGGGCCCAGAGTTCAGACCCCAGTGCCACCAAAAACCACAATGAAAAACCATTTTTATTAGTATATGGTAATATGTAGGGGATTTCATTGTAATATTTACATATATACATGTGTTATATCCTGGTTTGTTTCATCCCCTCCATTCTCCCTTCTACCTCATTTCCCTATTTAAAATAACTTCAACAGGCTTCATTGTTTCATATTCATAAATGTATAGAAAGTACATCCACCATATTAACCCCCCTTTATCCTCTTCATTTAACCTCCTCCTCCCACTAAAGCCCTCCCCTTAATATGACATGTTCTATATTCCTGCCTTTCGTTCTTTAAGTGTGTAGAACAGGGTTTCTTGACCTCAGCATTATTGGCATTTTGGACTGGATATAATTCTTTCTGTGAGAAACTGTCTTATGCATTGTAGAATATTTAGCACTACCTCTAACCTCTATGTGCTAGGTACCAATAATATAGTAACACACACACACACACACACACACACACACACACAGTGACAGTCAAAAATGTTTGTCTGAAGACATCATCAGATGTACGTTGAGGAGCAAAATTGCCCCCAGTAATGAGCCATTGATCTAAAACTAGCAGTTTGCCAGAGCTGCAAGAGAGCAAGAAATATATTAGATGGTACCACAGGAATACAGTCAGCAAAATCTAGCATGTAAGGAATGCTATAGGATAGATGATTTATTTCAGCACTTTCCAATAGAAATATTATGCAGTCTACATAGGGAATTAGAAACTTACCGTTGGCAAAATTTTAAAAACGAAGAAGAAATAGGTAATATTAATTATAATATATTAAGTTAA